CACCCTGTACTTGGAGTTGTAGGCCCCTGTCTTAAAAAAAAAAAAAAACACCACCAACAAAAAAAATACTTTAAACTTTGAATAGTTTATCAGAAATTGTAGTGGTACCTGATAAAATCTCAGCCCAAACAAAAAAATATTGGAGGGGTACAGTACGTGCTGGGATAAACAGCTTGAAACCATGTGAATAATGAGGTTACTGATTCAGTGATGAGCACACCTGAGTTTTGATAAGCATGACCCAACTGCATATGGTGAAATCCTTGATTCACAGAGAGTGTCTCATCTTTACTGAACTCACCAGAAGGAGCATTTAGTCCCTATAAAGCAAGGTGCAATAAATCAGGGGAAAGCTGCAGATCCTGTCAGACCTGCCTGCATTCCTTTCCCCTCAGTGATTCTGTAGTTCAAGAGGGTTTCATCCTTTGGGAATATTTCAACACCCTTTTGCAAGCTATGCCAAAATCCAGGGATTTGACAGCTTGATAAAACCTCATTTATCCTGAGCTAGAGAAAAGCTGACCCTGGGAAGGACTGTATTTTCAAAGGCAGTACCATCTAGCAGCTGTAGGTTAACTGGCAGAGCTTGTGGGGCTGAGGGTGCCTTTGAACTTGCTAGGAAGTTTAATGGCAAAGGTGCAGGTCCCTGGGAGAAAATCTGTTACTGGAAGAAGACAAAGAACTAGTAAGTGGCTTTCCAGCCAGGCAAAAAGGCAGGAGATAGAGTCCATCGGCGCTAGAATCCATATTACATTCTTACACCGGGGGAGAGAGTAAATGCAGAGAAATGTATGGGATGGTATTGAAAATAGATACCACAAACAAGAAGTTGGGCAGACTCATTTTCCTTTAGTATTATGGACTAGAATTTAAAATATCAGTTTGAACAGGGCATTAATTGGACTTGGTGGAATGACAAGTCGAGAGCCATTGGGGATCTGGTTGGTGATTTACTTATGCCAATGCTGAGTTCAGCTGCTTTACTGGGGACTCTTTGAAGTCAGGGGAAGTTGGGAAGGGGGAAGGCAAAGGGAAGAGTGGGAATTAGGAAGAGAATGGCCTTTGTAGTCGTATCATTTCCCTCAAACATTTATTGCTTTTCCCTTCCTTCCTCATTCAGCAAATATTTCATGACCTCTCTGTGCCTGGCATTCTACTGGGCATTTGGGATTTGGGATGAATACAAGAGAATTCCTGGTCTTGAAGGGTCTGTAGGTAATGTCAAATACTGACCGACTCCCATTCCCTTTCTGATGAGGTGTAGCCCTGAGGAAGTGATGCACTGCCCGGTGTTTCTCTAATCTTATGTTTCGAATTTCAAAATTTCTCATTTCATATATTTTTACTCTTATTATTAAAGGCAACTAATTAAATGTATTGGGTTTAATTTTGATGTTATCTATAAGGATTTTCACCTAAATAAATTAACTCATTTGGGAAAAAAAAAAATCCCAAATCAGACAACCTTCCATTCTGCTTATTGTTTTTTAACAATATGGCTTCTATGTTGATTTCACAAGCTGCATTTTCCGCGTTGGAATCTGTGGAGGGCACTACAGATTTGATGGGGGAAGTGGATTATTTTCCATCAGTTAGACATCTAGCCAGTCTGAAAACAACCAGTAAGGATGTTTGTTTTTTTCCTATAAAAATATTGACAACCATGCAATCAAAATGTTAAGGTTAAAAAATAAAAATATAAAAAATCTCTACTTTGTCCTATCCAATCTTCTCTGAAGGGTCTGGGAAAAAACTTCTGTAACTTTCCAAGAAGTGAAACCAAGTGACATTTTAAGAAGTCACATTATACCCATAACCAGTAATATTTAAAGTTTTCAGATCACAGATCAGTCACAATATGAAATAGGGCTCCAATACTTATTTCCTTCAAATGCTTAAGTTATTTTGCCTCACAATCTCAATATTGCTCATTGTACGGCAAAATTTTTGTTTCGCAAGGATGCTATGGGGCTAGAACATCGAGGGCCCCTCGCGATCCCTGCCTCATGCCCTGCGTAGCCACCTCCAGCAATCCACTGCTTCAGGATTGGTCTATGTGACAAAACAATATGGTTGAAGTAATGGTACATCCTTTCCTGGGCCAAATCACAGAAGACATTCTGGCTACTGCCTCTCAATCTCTTTCTTTGTGTCTTCTATCATTCCCTCCCAGCGACACCAGCTGTTGTGTTGTGAGGGTAGTCAGGCAACCCTGTGAATCATCATGTGGCAAGGTACTGAGGCTTGCTGCCAACAGCCATATGAATGAGCCATCTTGAGGCAGACCCTCCAGTGCAGCCTTCAGATGACTGCAGCCTCTGCCAGACAGCTCAATTGCCACCTTGACAGACCCTGAGCCAGAACCATTCGGCTAAGTCATACCCAGATTCCTAACCCACAGGAGCTGTGGGAAATAATAAAGGTTTGTTGATTTGAGCTGCTAAGTTTTGGAGTAACTTGCTATGCAGCAATAGATAATGAATACAGGGGTCCATTCAAACCTGAGATTCATTGCTTTTTCTGGTTCTTATGTCACACTCATGATATCTTCTATGTGAAATATTCTTACTGGGAGTCTTGGGAAGTTGTAAGTCTCCTTAGTTCCTTGCATAGCTCACGCAGTAATTAATACATATACTGTATATGCATAAACATAAAGTTAATGTATTTTTTTCTTTTTTTTTCTTTTTTTAAAGATTTTATTTATTTATTTGACAGACAGAGATCACAAGTAGGCAGAGAGGCAGGCAGAGAGAGAGGAAGGGAAGCAGGCTCCCTGCCAAGCGGAGAGCCCGATGCGGGACTCGATCCCAGGACCCTGAGATCATGACCTGAGCCAAAGGCAGTGGCTTAACCCACTGAGCCACCCAGGTGCCCTAATGTATTTTTTTCTAAATGCTTTTTATTTTTTATTTTTTTAGGGAGGGAGAGGGAGAGCATGCCACTGTGAGCAGTGGACGAAGGGGGCAGAGGGCAAGGGTAGAGGGACAGGGAGAGAGAGAATCTTAAGCAGGCTCCATACCCAGCATGGAGTCGGATGAGGGCTCAATCCCATGACCCTGAGATCATGACCTGAGGTGAAATCAAGAGTCAGACACTTAACCTACTGAGCCACCCAGGCACCCTCTAAGTGCTTTTTAAAATTATTTTTCATTTTAAAGATAATACACGCTTATTAAAGAAAATGTGGAGGAAAAGTTAAAATAAGTTACCCATAGTTTCAACTATGAGAGAACTATTATTAACACTTGACCTTTCTTTTTCCTCTTTCTTTCTTTCTTTCTTTCTTTTTCTTTCTTTCTTTCTTTCTCTTTTTTTTTCTTTTGTTTAAAAAGAAGTTGTGGCCATACACTATATGCCATGCTTTCAATAAGCCAAATTCATTTTCTTTAATAACAAAGCCCAATAATGTGCCTTGCTTACTCTTGTCATTCAGCTCCCTGCTTCAAGTGACAGGTTCCCAGGGAAATCAGATGTGACTGTGCCCTGAGTGTTCAGGAGGCCCGTGAGAGTGTCATGGGTTTGGAGCCAGAGCCTGGCAGGGAGTGATTGGTGCCTGGGGGCGCCAGACACATGGAAGATGATTTATACCAACGACCAGTCGTCTCTGCACACATTCTTTTTATTTTCAGTACTAACATGTGTGTAAAGGGCCACTCCCTGCCCAGGAACTCATATTTATATCCACGAACTTCTTTACAGAAACTACACTCCTTTATTCTCTGTTCCTCTTCAAATAGGGCTGCAGAGAAATGTGAATTTATTAAGATGCTGATGAAGCATAAACAGCAGGGCCTTTTCCAAGGCCTTGGGAGGGGTGTTAGCAATGTGTTCACATGGTCATGGATTTATAGAAAATTTGCAAAAGTAAGAAACTTTAATCACAGTTGCTTAAGACTGCCATCTCTTTTCACTCTACTCCTGCCCTTCTGCATGCCTATACTTTCCTTAATCCAAGGTGGTATCCAGTGGTCACCAGCATATTATTTTCATAAATTTTGTATTTTTTTTTTGACTGGGCCCCCAAAATTGTATGATTCAGGATGTAAGACATTGGATATACATCTTGGCCTCCAAATTGCAAAAGATGCATGTTTAGACTGTGTTTTTCAATTGCTTTGTACTGTAAACAGAATTTATTTATTATTTATTAGTCTTATGTGTGAAGTCATTGGGAATGTCAGAGCTGGGAGAGTCACGGACTTAGAGGGCCTCAAATGAGCTCAATCTATTCTACATGGTTTTATGTAATTGCTAAGACTGTTTCACTCAAATCCATAGGTGCTCAAGAGTTCCTCCTCTTAGCTGACTCCATCCTTTGACTCTATTTCTTCATTGGCTTCTATTCCTTGACTCTATGGATATTTCCACTGTGACCCTTCCATCAAGAAAAAAACAGGGCACCTGGGTGGCTCAGTAGGTTAAGCATCTGCCTTCGGCTCAGATCATGAGGTCCTGGGATCGAGTTCTGCATTGGAGTCCCTGCTGGGTGGGGAGTCTGCCTCTCCCTCTCCCTCTCCCTCTGCCTCTGCTCATGCTCTCTCTCTCTCTCTCTCTCTCTATCAAATAAAGAAATAAAATCTTAAAAAAAAAAGAAAAAATAAACAAATTTAACCTACTTAATGCAACACCTTTGAACAAAAAAGGAATGCAGAATGAATAGTACCAACCAGGTGAGTGATGGACTTTATGAAAGACTGTGCAAAAGAAAAAACAAAAAGAGAGAGAGAGAAATAAAAAACCAGACTCTTAAATACAGAGAACAAGCTGGTGGTTGTCAGAGGGAAGGTGGGGGGAGGGATGGGTGGAAGAGGTAAAGGGGAGTAAGAACACACTTAATCCTGATGAGCACGGAGTGATGGATAGAATTGTTGAAAAAAAATGAAAAAGCAAAAGAAGAGGCTGTGCTACTCTGAGTGTTTATTCATTTCACCTATTGATTAGAAGAATTTATTCTCCTTTTAATCAACTTTTGGACAAGGTACAAATCAAATCAATACCTGCCGCGGCAGCCGTGGGGATACACTTTTCAGATGTTCCTTTAAGAGAACCTGCTGGGGGTGCCTGGCAGAATGACAAGCCCAGCTGCCACATCCTCACTGAGCCCCACTCTTCTGGGCTGCTGGCAGCCATTGACCGAATGAACTCTCCTGAGGTACCAGGGTACCAGCGCTGGTCCTCCCTGCCTGACACAGGATTCTTCTCTCTGGCAACTTTTGCACAGAACCTCCCCATCAGCCCAGCAAGGCTTTCTGAGAACTGCTCCAGGGTCTGAGGCCCTTCCTCTCCGATCTTTCCTTCCTCCTCTACCTTCACAGGTAGCAGACCCGATCACAGTCGGACCCTCTCCCTGTCTCTTCCTACCCCTATCTCCCTCTGTCCTGCACAGTCTTCTCCTCAATAAACCTCTGGCATGTCAAATCCTGTCTCAGCACCTGCTTCTCTGTGCATCTGAAGTGACACACATGTACATTGTTAAAAATGACCAAATCCAGAAGGGCTTAGACGAAGTAGCAACAGTTCCCTGCCCCCCCCATAATCCCTTCCCCCCAGTCTTTCACATGGGAAACACTGTTAACACTTTCTTTTTTCTAGCTCTTTTGACAGTTATAATATCTCTAGAAGAATATATTTGTCACATACTGTTTATTTTGTATTTTGTTATTTATTATTATATATTTTATATATTTGTGTTATATATATTTTATGTATACATGTATTTTTTCTAATTCTATCAACTATTGACAGTATCTCTTGACTCTTCACTTTGTGAAGTGAACATATAAATGTCCTTATTCTTTCCTTCATCTCATTTCCTCCTTACCACAATCAAATGTGTCATTTTAACTTTCGTTGTCAAGAAAGAAAACATGAATCTTGTTCTACCACCAGACCTAAGTCTTCTTTTTGCCTGGCCTGTGGATTGATTCCAAAAGCTGAGAAATGGTCAACAGTGTGTAATATAACATTTTTCTATGTAAAGATTGCTCACAGGTCAGCCACATAGTATATTATGATTACATAACTTTTTTACATAGTCTTGTGTGTTTCTTGGAATTTCTAATTGTCTCTTTCATCCCACCCCATTTCCTGCATTGCTGCATTTTTTACAACTTGATATCCCAACTTCTTCAAGATAGTATCAAATCTCTGAATTCTTTCTGGTTATATACATTTTCTTTCCAGACGCATTTTGGAGCCACCAGCTCCAAACTGGACCTTTGTGTTCTTCCTTTGGTGAAAAGTTGTACCCTAGGTCTTCCTTCCATTTTCTCCTGATTGACCTAATTGTTTCTTGAATCCACATTTTTTAGCTTTCTCTCTTATTTTGCTAGAACACATCCTTGAATCACTTCCATAGAAAAGGGGTATGGGGAGTAAACTTACTGAGTCCTTCAGTGACTTTGAGTAACTTTATCCTACTCTCAAATTTAATTAATAATTTGATTGAATATCGATTTTTTTCACTCAATAAATTTTCTCTCAGAACTTTGAAGGTAGAGTCCCATTGTCTTGTAACACTTGGCATTGCAAAAGAGAAGTTTGATGCCAATCTGATTTTTTAAAAAAAGAAGACAATTTGTTGTTTTTTCTCTGAAAATGTTTAGATTTTAAAAAACCTTTGATATTCTGATAAGGATTGCATTAAATGTGTAGATTGCTTTGGGTAGTATAGACATTTTAACAATATTTGTTCTTCTAATCCATGAGCATGGAATGTCTTGGTGGGGATGCAAACTGGTATAGCCACTCTGGAAAACAGCATGGAAGTACCTCAAAAAGATAAAAATAGAACTATCCTACAGCAATTGCGCTACTAGGTATTTATTTACACAAAGGATAGAAAAATACTAATTAATATTGATACGTGAACTCCAGTGTTTATAGCAGCATGATCTATAATAGCCAAATTACAGAAACAGCCCAAGTGTCCATCCTCTGATGAGTGGGTATATATATATATATATATATATACACACACACATACATATATATGAATATTATTCAGTCATAAAAAAGAATGAAATCTTGCCATTTACAACAATGTGGATAGAGCTAGACCATATTATACTAAGTGAAATAAGTCAGAGAAAGACAAATACTATATAATTTCAGTCATATGTGGAATTTAAGAAAAAAACCAAATGAGCATATGGGGAAAAGAAAAGAGAAAGAGGCAAACCACGAAATAGACTCTTAACTGTAGAGAACAAACTGCTGGTTCCCAAAGGGGAAGTGGGCAGGGACTGGGAGGGGGCGTGGGGAATGGGGGAAATAGGTGCTGGGGATAAACGAGTGCACTTGTGAGGAGCACCAGGTGTTGTATAGAAGTGTTGAATCACTAAATTGACACCTGAAACTAATATTACATAATACGTTAATGAACTGAAATTTAAATAAAAACCTTAACAAAATCTTTCATATTCTAAAATTTTATCATTCTGTGACTGAGTTTCATTTTTCATTTACTGTGTCTGGCATTACAGCATTTTCTTCTCTCTTTCTTCAGTCTAGAGACTCATGTCTTTCAACCAAGAAATTTAAAAAAATTTTTTTGTGTATGTTTTCCTTTCATTTTGTCTGTTCTCTCTGGAGCATCTCGTCATTGGACATTAGCCTCTTGGATTTACACTTTACACTTTAGCCTTTCTTTCATGTTTTCATTCTATTTGTATTTATTTTTTTTCCTCAGCAAATTCTTTGACTTTATACTTCACTATGTTTATCAAATTTCTGCTTAAACTACCATATTTTTAATTTCTAAGAACTTTTTATTTTTGAGCAATGGCTTTTTTTATCTTATTTAGTTCTTAAATTATAACCTTAATTATTTATTAAATTCTCTCTGAGGTTACTACTTATAGTTAAGATATAATTTTCTAGTAAATATTCTTAAAATATGCAAATTCGTGTATATTTTATATGGACATTGAGTCCGGACATATCCATGGACATACATTTTCAAGTGTTGGCCTTTGTAAAATCTACCAAGAGACATTATTTTTCCTCCTGGGTAGATGTAAATTTCTTCAGCATGAACTGAATTTTCAAAATATGGTGCCCACATGTTCAGAGTATGTACTTCCTCACTGAACTAGACCAGCTGCTGCACTGAGTTAGCCTTAGTGAAAGTTGTTTTTCTCCTTTCAGAAATTTGGGAGGTCCTTTCCTTTTTATTGTATATTTATATTCTGCCTGTCACTTGATGATCTGGGGCCAAGTGGTCAATACTGGAATAATGTTTGACTGGAGACAAATGGGGAGATTTAACAACCAGGACAAAAACTCTTGCAAGGGTTTGGAGACTGATTGATATGGTCCCTCAGAGCCTTCCTGGACATGGAGAGTAGTTGGGGAGGTCATTAACCTGATAGTTGGCCTCTCAGCATCTGCCTTTCTTCTAGACAGAACAGTTGGGTGATCTGACTACATGGTAATTCAGAGACTTAAAAGTGTATTCAAGTTGACAAACTATGCATTAAAATGTTAGCCATGCTTATTTCTGGGTTTCAGCATCTGGGATATTATATTTCCTTGTTAAAAAATATATATATCTGGGGTGCCTGACTGGCTGAGTCAGAAGAGCATGCAACTCTTGATCATGAGTTCAAGCCCCATGTTAGGCATAGAGATGACTTAAAAAAAAAATTAAAAAAAAATTAAAAACACATATCTGGAGTAATTAAAGCCTCTTCCAGACATGCGTCTGCCCTTGTTTCACTGACTTTCCTAGCAGTATGGCACCCAAATGCCAGTCTTCACTCCCCCTCAACAGAAGAAACTGAGACTGCCTCCTGACCCCAAGCTAGAGGCAACAACCACTCAGCACTTCCTGAAGGGAGAAAAAGAACAGCAAGAAGTGATTGAACATGTTGATGGAGTACAAAATGAAACGGCAAGCTAGTGCGATTTTGAAAGTAGAGCCAAAGTATAACAAACTCCACCAAACAATTTTTTCAGAAGAGGTCATACTTGATTGCCAAAATCCAAAATTCTGGGGTAACAACATTTGTCAACCATCCACAAGTGTCTGCTGCTTAGAGAGGAGGAGGAAGAGGTGCTGCCTTATTTGACAAGAGTTGAAATGACAGAATGTGAAGATATTAAATCAGGTTACAGAAGAGATTTTTATTTTGATGAAAACCCTTGCTTTGAAAATAAAATTCTGCCCAAAGAACTTCATCTGAATGAGAGTGGTGATCCATTTTCAAAGTCCACTGAAATCAAATGGAAATCTGGAAAGTGGTTAAGGAAATGTTCAAGGCAAACACAGAGTCAAGCCAGCAGGAAGAAGCAGCATGAGGAACCAGAGAGCTTCTTCACTGGTTCACTGACCAGAACTCTGACGCAGGTGCACACCAATTAGGAGAGGTCATCAGAGATGATATCTGGTCAAACCCATTAGAGTAGCACATGGCTCCTGATATGGATGATGAAGGGGAAGGAGAAGAAGATGATGACAAAGAGGAAGGACTGGAGCATATTGATGAAGAAGGAGATGAAGATGAAGGTAAAGATGAAGGTGATGACGAGGGGAAGGAAGGAGAAGCTGACTAATGGAACACTAAAGGTTCTAAGCTTTCTTTTTTAATTTTCTTCAGACCCTCAGAGCAAGTTGCAGTCTTTTTTTTTTTTTTTTCTTTTTCCTCTTGTGCTCATTTGCCCTGTTTTTTGAAGTCCCTTTTCTTTCCCTTTATACTATGGTTCTCAACTTATTTGGGAAGGGTGGGGGAATACCTTGAGCAAAAAACAGTGGGAAAGAATCTCTACCCATTGCTGTTTAAATTCACATTTATCCCCTCCTGTCTCAACAAAACTTTATGGGATCAACACCACTGTGTCTGTGGGAAAAAGAAAAACCGTCTGCTCTCTTAGCCCTGCTAGAAGCTGGAGTGTGGTAGGCCCCGGTGTAGTATAGTATGTAGTAGTGCATAGACTCCAGATTTTCCCTCCTTTCTCTGTATATTGGGCTAAGACATTACACTGTATTTCTATGTGGATATGGACAGTCAACATTCACCATTTATCAACATATATTACGGACAGCTAGCATTTACCATTTACCAACATGTATTTGACTACTTTCTCTTGTTTAAAAAAAAAAAAGCTTAAAGAAATGGGATTATAGAAGGTCAGCAAAGGTTGGGTTTGAGATGTACAGCTTCTCCTTTGGCATGCTTAATTGTGATATTTAGTGGAGATCCCTGCAGTTTAAGATGACACTTTTAAAATAA